TAAAATTTTATTAAAAAAATTTATATTTTAAAAAATTTTGCAGGCAAATTTGGCTGCAAAACAATTTAAGGGATAAGTATCACTAATATAAAAATATATTTATATTAAACTGACTGCTTTTTTCCATGTATTTAGAAAATCATTAAGTGCTAGTCAATCAGCTTTCATTATATTAGGTATAATAGGTTGCTCGACAACTATCTCATTTTTTCTCATAGTTTCAGGTTATCCAATCTTATCTGGGATGGATATGTGTTCTTTATATCATATATGATATACTAAATAATGGAAAAAAGTATCATATTTCTTGATAAATAGGATAAGTGCATTTAGGCATTTTGTAAAGTCAGAGCATATAGATTTTTTTGTCTTGGTACTTATTGAGAGATTATCATTCTTGGTGTATGCTCTGGTGTATTATACAAACTTTTTTCATAATCTTTCAACAGTATTAGTTGCCTTAAAATCCTCAAAATTAAGCCATTTTCCATGAAATATCTCGTAGATATTATCTATCTTCTGATGTAATATAGATTGTGCAGTTTTGATTGCATTCTTGTAGGCACATTTGTAAGCATATCCATGATTAAGCATCATTTTGGGACTAATATTACTCAAGCCATCTACATATTTCTCAAGCCATTTTTTAGCTTTTTTTTGAGAATACTCGTCAATTTGCTTATATTTCTCATCCGAGTCTTTGAGTTGCCAGATTTTATCAGAGAGCAGTGGTTGGTATCTATCATCATAGTTGATAAATCTGGTACAAAGGCCAATAATTTTATTTTGGAGATAATATAATAAGTCTATATTCTTTTTGAGTTCCTTTGTCACATCAACAAATTCTATTCGGTTGCCCTTAGTTAGATTTAACTTTTTATCAGATAAATTAAAATTTATATCAGTTTTGGGTATTACATAACTGAAACGCTTATCCGGTTCAGGAATCTTATCTTTATTAATTTTTCTCATTCGCTCTATGAACCGCTGAACAGTTAAGTTTTGAATATTGGGTTTTCATGTATCAGTTTGGATGAACTGGTCAAACTCCCATTGTTTAGAATTTGTTACGGCATCTCCGAGAACATCTTCAACAATTTTATGGAATGATTGGTTATCCTCAACTTCCATAGCTTTTCACATAATTCGTTCACCAATAATTATAAAGAGTTTTGATTATCCCTGCTTTACAGTATCAATCTCTTTAATAAATAACTTTTTTGGCTTAAAGTTTACTTTTTTCTCGTGAGGAATTCCAAAATATTTTTTTTTACCAGTGAAAACAACAGGAAATAATACCTCCTCATAAGCCATTTTGAGATAAGTTGATCTACTTTTTATCTTAAAATAGATATTCACTTCATTGTATAATTTCTTCATTACTTCCATGCTAATATTAACTATTTTGGTCTAATACTCTAGTGTTGAAATTGAATTGTTTCTATAAGCTAGATCACATTTCTTATAATTATCTTCAGGACAGATAAGATATAATGAATCAGTATCGCTATATTGAATTCCATATCCTTTTTTTAGTATGTATTCTGCAACAAGCTTAATATTGAACTGACCTGCTGAAGTAATAGCTCCAGCAATATGGCATAGAAAGAATGGAGATAGACTATTACCTGTCTCACTGTAAAATGAATTCATATAAACTTTTACTGCCTTTTGTTTTGAATCCAAACAGGAATAATCAAAACATACAGATTCATATTCTGTTTTAAAAACGTTATAATCTTTACTAAAAGGAATTAAGATTTCAATCTTAGCAAAACATTCTTCTTTATTTTTTGCGTTATCCAAGACATTATCTATAGCATCCGTTAATAATAAATTCCTTTCTTTTATTTTTCTAATAACCAATTCCATATACTCCTTTTTCTTACCTAGAATACCAAGATCGAACTTCATTTTATTACACTTATCCAGAAGTTTTTTCAGAACTAATGGATACAAACCTTTTTTATCGATTATGTTTTTATGTAATACCGACCAGGCTTGTAATATTTAACCATTAAATATGTTGTAGTTTAGTAGCTATCTTTTCCTCTAATATCATCATTTCAGATAAAAAGTTGTAAGTCATGAAAATAAATGGATATAATAATGCGAAATCCAAACCTGTACCCGAACGCTTATTATTGAGGCCTTTTACCAAAGAAAATACATGGGCACTAAGATATTTTCCAGATTCGACATCTTTATGTGGTATTATACTAATTAGTATATTCTGCTTCCAGGCTTTAGCGCCTAAGAGATTACATACTCTTATTCTATTTGTACGATAATAGGCATCGAATAGAGAAACATAAGCAATTGATACAACTTCTTTATTGTCATTTATTACATTATGCTTAACCATAAGCTGTTGACATCATAGAGCATCAATAATGCAGTATTCTGCTACCTCACGCATATGTTTTTCAGACTCTATGGAATTATTTTCTTTTGCTATTTTGTAATAATTCCGCATACGGTTTATTGGCATATCAATTTTTTTTTTTTTTTTTTTTTTTGGTATTAAGGTGACCTCTTTGGTCTGGGGAACTTTTTATTAGAGTATAGACGA